TTGTACAGTGCAAGCGTATAATTTATTCATAGATCTCGCAAAACTCTAGGAAGGCTTAAATCTGCTTTTTTGTTAGCGGAAACATTGGTATGTTCTGGATTGCGCTATCTTGACTGTTAGTGACTTAATTTCTGATGCTTATGAATTGTATCCATAATAATAATAATAATCTCATTTGATCTGTCCCGCGATACACTATAAATGAATTACAACACCATCCATCGGCCTGTTTAGAGGCTGCCTTTTTGTATTTTTTTCTGTTTAAGCCTAGGTCGTGATGTACGTGTTTTCGTATTTGCTTAACTTTTACCCTTGAGATATTCTATACATGGAAATTCTCAGTTCAATGATTCTAAAGACAAACGATTGCTGGTCACTAAAATGTTGAATTGACGATTTATTGAAGAAGTCGACGAGTCGTAGAAATCGCTAAGAATCGTTTTTATGTCATTTAACAAACGATCACTGTTTCCAGCCATTTGCCTCGTTTCTCCAATTTACCGTGTTGTTGTCATAGTAATACTACAGGTTCCTTCAAACGGTGGTTCTAACTTGTTTCGGGTTTAGCTGTCATTTGCTGTGTATGTGACGGTAGCATTTTTTGGGGTTACATGTTGTCCAGATTGTTGCAGTTGATGTACTCAGCAATAGGGTGGGTTCCAGGCTAAGGGTAGCCTCAACGTGGCTGCGCACCTCGTCCATCCTTATATAAATGCGCCAGAATACCATACTGTCTCTGGTGGCAAGTCAGCGACTAGCTACCCGTCTCTCGGCTAGTAGCACCAGTATTTACTTGTGGCAAATGTCTGACTGAGAGAAATTTGTGGTTACGACAAAGACATCCTTTCTCCGGATTCGAACCCCGCACTTGTTCTAAACTGGCTACTTTTGTCATCGCGTCTGCAGTTCTGAGACCAGTTGACAGGGTCGTACGCAGTGGTCATTTTTAAGATCTAAATCGGAATGTACAGGCATAAGATATGCTATATATACTTGCACATGTTTTGACCCGTACTCGCTTTAGTCGATAGAGCGTTGAATTCGAATCCCACCTGATCATTTAATTTTCAGCAACTAAAAATGTAGATGATGACCTCCATTACTTGAAAAAGAAGTAAGAATCTGTACGTTACAGCTGTTATCTGGTTGTTGATATTGCCTCGAACAAACGGGGTCACACTCGGACGAAAACATTGGAAGAAATAGAAGAATTAAGTATCGGGCCACGAGGTCCTCGTAAAGGAAGGGCACTATAAACAGCTCAGATCATTAAAGTATATGAATGGAAGATGGAATGCCCAATAGGTTACAAATGTTGTGTTTTCTGTCGGCTTGAAATCTTTTTCATACCTTAGAATTTTCAACTGTTTGTTGTTGATCCTAGAAAATCTTAAAGAACATACTGTGGTTTGAGACTCCAATGTTTAAACGTGTTATTTATGCAATAGACGATAATAAGTGCACTTTATTGTCTGAATGTGTGATACATGACCTTCTTTCTTCACGTTATTCGGAATATTATTTTACCGATGCACATGTTACGCATGTTGAATTGCACCGACCGGCTTTGGATGCTTTTTAAAAGAGGCCACAGCTTACCCCATTTTCAGCATAAGTTAAGCGGAAAAAACAAGCGTTACCGAATAAACAATAACAAATAAGATTTCTCCGAATGAATTCCATACTGCAGACTCAGAACTAAAAGAACGCAATACTGTGTTACATTGAGCATGTATAAATAGTGCTGACTAACTGCCTTCCAGTTTATGAGGGTTCGAGCTGAAGCTGGGAAAATGGATCTTCTAAACAGTTCGGCTCAGGAAGGTACATTGAGATAAAATGATCTTTTTCAGTTTTAAAAGTGGATTTAAGCGGCGTATGCACCGACCCTTTGCTTCTAGCTTCCTCGAAGCATTTAAGCAGGCCACGGTTCCATGATATTTGAGCACCTAAACGTAATTCTGTAAAATGATCTTGACGTACTTCATGAATGACAGCGGATAAGGCTGCCGTAGAATGGATGAGTCGGATTATCCAAATCTTCGTGGCTACACCTTGTGCGATAAAATTTGGCTACAAACAATGCAAAGTTTCTGTACGGCTTAACCCTTATTTTGGATGCTACGCTTAGTTACCTGCCGATGGTCTAGAAATCATGCACAAGTGCATACGATAACAACAGCATACGAGTATGGGGAATAATGCACGCCTGAAGTCCCGGAGTCTTTTTGCATAAAAGCAGGCCTCGCAGCAGCGGTCTGCTACTGTCTGGACATGACAATGCCAGACGAGGTAGGATGAGAGAATCCTGGACAAGTACTTGATGTGCTGTATTTGGGCCACCGGTTTGACCGGCAGTATCCAACACCTCAGTGGCAAGGTTAAAGAGTGCGTTCTTTTTGGTTATTTGCATGACACTAATCAACTGCTTCGTTTTCTCCAGATGTTAGTACAGATCGATAAAGGGGAAAAACGGCAGATCGTGGAGGTTCCGTTTTTGTAGCTGTTCTTGATATCACGGACTCAAAGATTACGTTTAGTCATACATACGGCTATCGCTTAAGACAATATATATAAATGTCTCTAACTTCATTGGGGGGGGGCATGTTTATTCCTAAATTTCCTTCGTTCTGCTTCATGATGATATTCAATTTTTATTCACATGAAAGCGTTCAATTTTACCTCGCGCTTTGAGTTGCTTTCTTCTACCGTATTTGTTTCAGGTTCACTCGCTGGCCTGCTTGATGGATCAGCTTGTCGAACAGCTGAAGACCGCCATCAGTCAGAACCGTTTGGATGTTCTAAAAGCACTTTTGCAGGAACTCGGTAAGGTTATTTTGTTCGCATTGTTGTTTTTATCATTGCCATTTAGAGGTAACAGCCGTTGAACAGCTCAATAGCCCAGATTCATTAAATGTGTTCATTAGAAATGGCTTCTTTACGATTTGTTCCAAATTTGAGAAATTTGAATACAGCTCGCCTCCTTGAATCTGTAGAGCATCACCTGGAGGAAGCACCGAATCATCTGTTAGACGACCGGTGAAGTTACATTCTATTAAAAGTTTAAATTGAAAAAAACAGATAGAATTAATCGAAAAACGAGCAACGAAGGGATCGATCAAAAGAGTAAAAGAAAAAATAGATGATTAATAAGGTGAAAAATAGTAAACAGAAGATCATGCACAGTGGAAAGAGCAGGAACAGAAAGAGGCGGAGGAAATTATAATAATGAAAATGTGCTACAGTTAAAAAAACTGTGATAGTGATGAGGCGATAGTGGAGGTGATTCTGATTGACAGCAAGTACTCCGGAGTTTTCACTCTTCAACTATTCGAACTCACTGTCATTGGACCAAGGAGATATTAGACTCGATCGTAGGAGAGAGTAAACAGCCCCTTGGAAACATCACCAGGTTGAGTGAAGATATTTGTTGGTGCAACGTGGCTAAAAGTGGCTGAAATTGACTTTCCAAGACTAATCTCTGGGTTCGTGCATTTTTTCATATCCGACAAAGCCATGGTGTAGAGCTATTGCTTCTCCATATTGAGAAGTCACAACCTCGAGGGTTCGGCCACGTTCGGAAAATGCTTCCAGAAAGGAAGTAGAAGACACGGCTTCTTCCTGACCAACCGATCATCCGAAGACCCTGAGGAACGGCCAAGATTTGTCTGTCACAAATTTCTCAACACACGCTGCTCCAGACTCAGGTTGTCACTCTCTGGCGTTGTTGCCTTCGCGACCCCGCGACCCAAAACTGACCGATTAGTAAGGGTCGAATAGCAGGTGGAAGTGCAGGAAAATGAAGATTAACAACGTGAAACATTAGCAAAGGACGAAGGAAAACAAAAAGACCAAAACGAAGAAGTGAGAGAAAAAACAGGGACAGGATGCAGAAGATAAAAGAATGAAAAGAAGCGCATGAAGAATACGGGAGGAAGAAGAAAAATGACGCGCAGATCCAGAAAAACCATAGGAAAAAGGACAGGAGGACTTCCGGAAGTGATTTGCTCTTCGAATAATGTCAGTAAACAAAATGATCCTCTTAGCATATTCGACAATACTTTAGTAACATAGCTGTCCTGCAGAGGAATTAATGCTGGAAGATTCCAGAATGCAGTGTTGGCGCATAAAAATGACTTGTTTTATATTTTGAATTACCGTAATCCCTCTGTTCACCTTTTACTCTTTTGAACATCGTTACGGAACGCTCTTCTGCACTGAGAAATCAACTGGTGTTTCCGACCCCAGTGACCTCTTCAGTCATTGCAACCTGTACAGCAGATGATTCGGATTAACGATGAATGGCAAATGAGAATCGTATCATCTGTTTACCTCAGCAGTTGATGAAGTTTGATTGTTGCTTTGGATCCACGTATAAGTTGAACACAAAGAGAAACGATGTTGAGACTTGAAGAATACCAAGTCAGTTTTACACCGCAGTGCATATTTTCTATATTAATAACAGTTAAATGCTCAAGCTATCTATTCAAAGATCATAATATTAAACCAATTTCTCCATTCATCCTTTTGCTTCGGCTCACTCTTCTATCTTCATGACTGGCTATTCAGTGGATAGTTATTGAAATAGCCGTGATCTCTGCCATTTAAACCTTCTCTAATGGCTGTTTGTGACGCGCAACTGTTGGAGATGGTTTATATAATCGAATCCTCAATTGATCGGTTTTCGATTGAGTCGTTGCTACTTGACATATAGCTGTACAAGAGAGTTCGACTTGTGCGGCTCTCGTCGGAAATCTTGACCTCGGGTCCGAAACATTGCAATGGTGAATTTAGATCTAGGGAAGTAGGGCTTGCAGTGGAGGATCTCTTTGACTGCTGCGTTACCATGCTTGTCGAGTTTTTTTCACACTTGAGGTGCCAAGTTTTGTTCCTCTAAGTTTCTTATCCACTTCAGTAGTGCCTCCTGTGCAAAAATACATTCACATTATAACAATTTGAGCATCTCTCTTAAGAGACTCGTCGACTTTACCGTTGCAGTGATGAGCTCGTTAGAAAGTACTTAATATCCTAATATTGCAAATAAGTCATGATATTAAGTGCTTCGTGAACGATATAATGTATATTGTTCATTGTTTTCGAATTGCTTTGTTTATTCCACACGTGCGTTATATTTCTGGCTTTATTTCAGACAAAGAAGGGAAACAAGACGTTATAAAGAGCCTGTGCATAAACGGTGACACCCTTCTTCATTATGCAGCAAAAGTAAGCACGGGGAGACCGAGCTTGTCTTTCTTGTTTATAACTAAATTGTAAAGCTCGAAAACAGTTAATGAGCCTTAACAGAAATATAGCTAATTTCATTTGTGTCTTCTTCGGTGAAATAGCGCTCTAACGGTTCTAAACAGAATGAAAAGGCAGATGGCAGTGTTTACCTTGTTCTTCGATGTTGCATGCTGGCTTCCTGCTCGTGCCGTTTTTCGGCTCTCATAAATAAAATCCGTTAGTTGGACAAATGATTTATGCTCATGCAATTTGTGTAATAGGGATAAACGTATTTTCTTAATTTTCACATCTACTAAAGTTATTTGTGACTCGATGAGAATGGAATCACTATGTCCTGCTGTTTAACCCTCCTTATACGTCGAATCCAACGCGTGTCGTTGTTAGTCCTTCTTTGGAATAACTGTTTCTATGTCATAAAACAGCACACTGTCCTGATAGGGTTCTTATTATAGCTGACGACGTTTCGTTCAAACTAGGTCGGCCATTCTAAGGGAGGGCAAATAATATGATAAAGAAAGTTGAACAGCCATCCCCAAAATTGAAATTTTGACCATCATCAACTTTTCAGCTTGTCTCTCAGATGTTCGTCACAACCAATTTCGCTGTTGATTGTTGTTGACTACGACTTAGGTGTTGTTTCGTCATGAAGACATGCCTTCATGTTGGCTATGTAGTTTTTCTTGTAGGTCCGTGGTGACGGAGGTAGCGAGGCTTATTCGGTTTGTGTCATTAGATGGCTAGATCTGTTTGAATGAATTTCTTTCAGTTACGGTGCTTGCTTTTAATGGCGTAAGGGATAGGGAACCGTTCCTCTTTTCTGCCATGTCCGACTTAACGACACGTAATAGACGCTACCTAAATGTGCAGATGGCAGCCGTTACGCAGTTACGTGACGCGGTTACGCGGCGCCTATGCGATGAGTGGTGTACGTCCACAGATCCGAACTTTTAGCACCAACAAGTATGACTTTCAGCCGATCATCAACAAGCGGATGATCCGTATCGCCTGTTAGAACCTAGGAACGTTTCATCTGGGTACTCGGTCCTTGACCCTGATACCCTAGATGACGATGGCAACAACAGTAAATGTGTAAATGAACAGACCACCAGACTGGTCTGTTACATTAACATGTGTCTAATGAACGGTGCTTGTTGTTTTCAAGGAAAAACTCATATGCACGAACAAATTATATAAATTCTAGTATCACTTCTTTGGAATCAAACAATGTTGGCTGGTTTTAGAACAGCTTGGTAGATGCGGTGCGTGTTCTGCTTTCTTGTCATGCTGATCCATCGGTTCTGAACTCAGATCATCTGAGCGCCTTTCAAGTCGCATCATCGAACGAAGTGAAGGACGTCTTTTGGCTGATGTTCCGTCAGGCGATCGCCGAAAACAGGTTTGTCACTGGAACGCTCTTATGCGCTCAACCAAATGCCTACAGGCGTTTTCGCTTTTAGAGTAGAGCTGCTGAGGCAACTGGTGAAGGCGGGCATTTCGTTGAACGTCGCTGATGAGTCAGGAGATAAAAATTTCCCACTTCACTGGGCTGCGGCATACTCCACGGCCGATACCATTGAGTAAGAAATAATTTTGTTTCATTTCGTTACATACGTTTATATGTAAAATGATAATTTAACGTTGGAATTTCTGCATACCAATTTATTTTATTTTGTTAATTTAGGTCTAAATAGGCTCATATATAGCGTTTCATTTAAAATATTAAAAACGTTAACATACATGCATTTGTGAAAGCGCTTTTATCAGTTATGTATATTATATATTACGACTATGAGTGGCATACATATCAAATAACTCATAACTCTTCCAAAACCAAATTCATTCCTCTTCACGGCATATTGCATCGCCCTCTTACTCGTACTTGTCCAGGGGGCCATCTGACTAAGACTCAGCATTTAAGCACCTGCAGTGCCAAATGCCTTTTTTATGACTTGCTTGCTAGAACTACATCACCCTCATCACGAACGATGTTTCGGGGCTTGGTACTCTTC